CAAACGCTCACACGTATAAGATAAATTTAAAAATCTAAAACAATAAAAAATCATCAAAAAGCTGAACATGGCAGCACTATTGTGTCAGCACTGGGGAGGCAGGAACAGACAGGTCCCTGGGGCTCACTGGCTGGCCAGCCTAGTCTACCTGGCAAATTCCAGGCCAGTGAGAAATTGTCTCAAAGCGGTAAGAGGAAAGGTGTGGTCACACACGTTTAATCCCAGCACTTGGGAGGCAGAGGCAGGAAGACCTCCGTGAGTTTGAGGTCAGCCCAACTGATCTACATAACAAGTTCCAGGACAGTCAAGGCTACAGAGTGAGACCCTGACTCAAAAAAATAGGAGGGTAGATGGCACCTGTAAAATAACATTAGCAGTTGTCTTCCAGCTTCTAGATCGGTGGTTTGCCAAACTTCCCAATGCCATGGCCCTTTAATACAGTTCCAAATGTTGTAACCCTCCCAACCATAAAATCATTTTCACTGCTACTTCATAACTGTAATTTTGCTACTGTGGGAATAATAATGTAAAAATCTGTTTTCCACTGGTCTTAGGAGATCTCTGAGAAAAAGTTGTTGGACCCCCAAAGGGGTCATGACCCGCAGGTTAAAACCCATGGGTTGAAAACCACTGTTCTAGATGTAGATGTGCGTGTGCTCACACTCACATGGCCAACGTCTGGTTTCATCTACTTTGGCAGGTAAGTTTATGAATGATTAAGGCACCTGTTACTTCATATAAAACTATACTCACAAGTCTTTTAGCTTTAGGATCTATGACTGTTGTCTAAGAGAGTAGCTAAAATTTAATGCAAATTAATTAAAAGTGAAGTACTTGAACTTGAGTTAAATTTAGTAAAAATTAAATGAAGCTAAGAAACCCCTTCTTCGGTCTCACCAGCCACACCTGAAATGCTTAGTAACCTCATTGACTAGTCACTACTGTATCAGAAGATTTCCATTATTACAGTCTAGGAACCAGGTTCCTACCACAGTGAGGGTCCCCACCCCACTGTTGTTATGGCTTTAAATGCCAGCCCCGTCAGTACATGGAAATACAGCTCTCCCCTGGTTAGACAATGGGTCTCTCGAGGCCTGGGAATTGCAGTGGAGCAGGAGAGGAGCTGATGAAAGCAGCTTGTAAAAACACTTGCCAACAGCCTAGCCCACACGCAGAGGAGATGGACGTCTACAGAGACAAGCCGTCATCATTGACTCAGAGGGACTGAGAAAAGCACACCTTTGGGCCAGGGAGGGCCTTTCTCTCAGGTTTCACTCAGTGAACTCTGAATCCCAGGTACTTGTGGGAATGTCAGAGGGCGAGGTGCCTGTTTTACTGGGTTGGCATTCTATAACTCCAGTGAGATTGTTGGCTTGTTTGAGGCAGAGGAAGTGACTTGTGGTCTTACGTTATCTCTTCCTTGGCGTTTCCTATGCAAGTGATAAGGAAATGCTGGTTCTCAGACTAAACTGTATTAAAATGACCTCTCTCTGTACCATCTTTAGTCATGTGACCCTCAAGGGCAAGAATCTACTGTTTCTCTCCTGCAGCTACACGAGATACGTAACTGTTCCTATTGAAGTACTTGTTTGTTTGCATACGTTTGCATTTGGAGGATGAACAGTTGGAGGATGCTGGAATGGCCTCAGACCCACACTAATGGAGAAGCCTGTGTTTCTTCGATGTCGCCATTTCTGGCGGGCCATCACTTCACATCTTAGAACATCAGAGGAACTCGGCATTAGTCTCTCAAGATGAGAAGACAGATCTTCTGAGCCAACAGTGATGAAAGGGAGAGAAATGCTCTAACGCCAACAGAGAGCTTTATCGGAAAGTCATTTCCTTTCTCTTGTTTCTGGCAGAAAATCCAACTTAGGAAAGAACAAATCTCACTGAAAGGGAAAACGTGGCAACAGGAAGCTCTCGTGAGATCTCAGGTCTGTGTTGTGTTAGGCATTTGGGGTTCTAGAGCCTGTCAGGGGACTCTTTCAATAGTCCAATGTTGAACACATGTTACAGAATATTGAATCGTCCACCACTACCTCTTGCCTCTTCGAGAAAGAATGAGACAGTGTGTGGGGCAGTAGCAAGGCACAGGGCCAGCTCTCAGCTACACGGCAAAGGAAGCCAGTTTGTCAAGGTCATATTCATTTTTTGTTTAGTTTACTAATATCCATGAAGTTAGGTTGCTAAGGGGAAATCCACTAAGAATAATTCAGGAGACCATGAGCGGATTCTTCTCCTGGCTGCCACTGCCACCCTTTCTCATGTTAACTGTTAATTAAGTATTGGGTTTTGTTTCTTATAATTGTTTTCTGATTATAAAAATAATCCAAGCATGTTATGGAAATACAGACACATATAAAATATGTGTATCTAGTGTATAAAATAAACTAAAATTATGTGTAATCTTTCTACCAGCGTTTAACTGCTATATATATTTTGGCATATCCTGTCCTTTTTTCCCCACATGGACCAATTAAAATCATACTTTGTTGTTATTTGCTTTTTGTATTTAGCAATGTACTATAATGATGACATTCTCACCCATTTTTTTTTTTTTTTTTTTTTTTTTTAGAAAACAAAGCAGTATAAGTTAAATAATAATTCCCAGGGGCTACCAACATCTCATTGGGTAAAGGTACTTGCCACCAAGCCCGATGACCTAAGTTTGATTCCCCAGATCCACATGACAAAAGGCGAGAACTACATACAAGTCACCCTCTGCCCTCCACATAAATGCCGTGGCACACGCCCTGCCAATGAATGAATGAAGAATGAACGAATGAATGAATGCATGCATGAATGAATGAATAGATAAATTAAACATTTACTCTAAGTAGTAAAAGCAGACAAAATAAGAAGCAAAATGTAACAAGAGCAAGTCTACTGGGAAGAGCCTCTGGACCCAGTCGCAGATGGGAAGTTAAAGCTGTCAGTACAAAGAGATTTCTCACCTCACCAGGAGCTCTGCTACCAGATTCAGGATGTCATCTGCAGGTCCTTTCCTTGCTGTGGGTTCCAATTTCACCTGCTGCTGTCTGCCTCCAGCTAGAACAATGCTCTTGAGTGTTTTCTATCGCGCCCCTCTGCCTGCCACACACTCTCCTGGCCACCATTATTTGGAAGTCCATTTTTACTGGGTTTAGAATTCTAGGTTGATGTGTTTTCTTTTTATCTTCCAACATTTTTAGGTATTTTTCCCTTCTTTTTTTGAGTGCAGCTGTTTCTAAGAAGAAATCAGACTTTAAAAAAGAAAAAAAAAAACCACCTCATTTCACTATGTACAGTGTGGGTGTTTTTCCTCTATTTGTGATGTCTGTATTTTCTATGATGTGGTCAGATGTGTTTTTCTGTGATTATCCTACTTGACATTATGGTCACAGACTGAAAGTTGGGTGTTTCTCTCTCTCTCTCTCTCTCTCTCTCTCTCTCTCTCCTCAAGCATAATAGGCAAGCACTGTACTACTTAGCTATGGCCCTACCTGTCTACTATTTTTTGAGACAGCATCTTCCTATGCTACCCAAGCTGGCTTCCCCTCGCTGTTACCAGGGCAGGTCTCAAACTTGTGATCCCCCAGCCTCAGCTTCTCATAGCAGGGACTACAGGCTGGCCAGCACTATTGGGCCTGGTTAAGATTGGGATCTTTCACTGGAAGTTTGAGACCTTTAGTCTTTCAAAAGTCATTTCTTTCTCATGTCATTTCGCATTCATACTCTTCTCCTAGGACTTCTACATACAGGCTGTTTGGGTCTTTTCTGACATTCTCTGATCACTTGCACTGAATTATTCTTCAGCTGTGCCAATGAGACAGCTTCTCTTGATGTGTTTTCAGGTTGATTGGCATTCTCTTGCCCTCTGCAACTCATCAGTTGAGTGGTTTCCGTATCACATATGGTAGAGGTCAGTGTTAGAGTTACCATTGCATTTTAAAAATAGCTTTCATTTCTCTGAGAGTCCATTGTAATTCCTTTGTTAAATCCATATTTTTCTTCAGTTATTTAAACGTTTGTCTTTAATCTTTGAATCATATGTTGTTAAGTCCAACACCTGTGCTATCACTACCCCTCCACCCCCACCCCAGTCTGGTTTCTAGAAAATGCTTTACCTTTGATCTTGTGTCACAGGCCACAGACGGACGGGAAGGTGTGACCTGGAGACACAGCTCCATGCTGCCACCTGCAGCTGCCTGAGGAGGTCTTTTCGGGGAGCATACTCAGGGGAGAAGAGGATTCCTGACTTCTCTGCATAAAAGAATTTTGGGACACGACCAGATGAAGCAGAGTTGGGGTTTGTTGGGAAGAAGGTTTCACATCGACTTAAGCGTGGGACTATTCACAAGAGGAGCGCCTCAGAAAAGAATAATTCACATCTAAGTGTGAATGTGCATTTCTCAGGGAAAGCCATGCTTAAGTATCTTAGCTGTAGCTATACATGTGATTTAGTGGCTCTCAAATTCTATCTCAAAAGGTTTGCTAAAAAACAAAACAACAATAACAAAAGGCCTTCTTCTCTCTCTCTCTCTCTCTCTCTCTCTCTCTCTCTCTCTCTCTCTCTCTGTAAGTGATATTATAGGGGTAGTTCCAGAAGTGCCTTAGACAGGATTGTAATCTGACAATTTAAACCATGGGTCACAAGGGTTGGGGGCTTAAGATGTGTATCTTACTATAAATGGGGTTTCTTGTGAGATTCCTAGATAATGGGAGAGGAGAAAGGCCATATAACTTAGCCCTTAAGCATCACTGTTAAGATTCATCACTATTTTAATATTCTTTTCTGAAGCATCTCCATAGGAAAGGAATACCATCTCCATAGACAGACATCACAACAGATGTTCACACCGCTGGAACTCTTGACTCTCATCTGGTGAGAGGTTCCAAGCAGACCCCTGACTAAAACACTCTTTTTCTTCCTGGTGTCCTTCAATTTCCCCTGTCTCTCTACCCTGTTCCATTGATTACATTTTTCTGCTTCTTTGAAAGCTTATTGGTTCATTTTATTTAAGGACAAACATTGTACAAGTCAGTTATAACAGAGCATGCTGTAATCCAACACTTGGAAAGGCAAAGAAGATCTTGAGGCAAAAGGCAGCCTGGGCCGCACCAACCAAACAAACAAACAAGGAATGGACGTTGTAGATAGTCCATGGTGGAGGCTCAGAATTCTTCTATTTTCCTCTGGAAAAAAAATCCATCATTATTTTTGTTGTACATTATTTTTATTAGAAGATTTAAGCTTACATAATGAGAACCAATGGAAGATGAAAGGCATCCAGAATAAAATTGAAACTTAATAAAAATAGCTAAATGTAGAAATGTACAAAAACAGAAGAATATCTAAGCATTTCAGTGACATTGCTGATCAGAAGAGGAAAAGTATCTGGGAGTAAATTTGAAGGACATTTCCTAACAGCACGTAATCAGGAATTTAAGTACCTCATAAACGGTCAGATGCAAAGCCAATCTGATTCTTATTTTAGACAGCAGGTCGCTTAATATCCGACTTGAATAGGTGCGTGTTTGGCTTTATGGCTTCTTATTAAAGATAAATGAAAATCTGTCATGAGTCCTTCTAACTTCGAAGATTCACTCCCAAACTGTTTCCATGACAACTTATCGGGCTCTTTGAGAGTGGGCCTACAGTAAGTTGTACTGGAGTAGTTACTTAAAGTTAAGTGAATTGAAATTAAACACCCAGCTATGTAGTTACCATAGTCACAGTTCAAGTGTTCAGTGGCTCCATGCATCCGTGGATCACATGGACCAAACTGAAACTGTCCAGCTGTAGAAGATGTCTGTTATTGTGTGAAATTCTGCGGCAAAGGCTACCAACTGTTAAGTCTTTTGAAGACAGGGTGTCACTATGTAGACCAGGCTGGCCTCACAATCTTCCTGTCTCACCTTCCCATGGGATTCCTCTGGGATTACAGGTGTTTGCTACCGTGACCGGATAGCCACATATTTTTAAAGGCCAGATAGTAAATATTCCAGACTTTATGGTTCATGGAGGCCTGTTGCATCTATTCCCTCTGCCGTGGCGGCCTGAACTCCTAGCCAAATAAACATGAACTTGATCATGTTCTGATAAAACTTTACTCTTCAGCCAGGTAAGAGCCAAGGGCAGCCTACAGACCACAGCTTCAGAGAAGGGGTCAGCAAACTGTCACCAGAAGGCCACATTTCACCCATTGTCTAATTTTTGTTCTTCTAAAGAACAGTTAACTTCAGGTAGAATCCACGTGCCATGAAATCCACCCACACTGCTCAACAGTATTTAGGACATTTACATAGCTGTGCGGCCATTACACATCTAACACCATGCTTTTTGTGAATACAGTCATACAGGAACCCAGCTTTGCTCACTACCTCCTTGCCTCATCATGACGACTTTCCTGCTCCAAGGAGGGCTGAGTATTGATAACAGGGACAGCATGGTCCTGAATGTCACACATATTTACCATTTGTCTCTTGAAAGAAAATTTGCTCTAGAAGTTGTCCTTGCTCCTAAGGCAGATGTTTTCAGGGGTGTTGGCATGCTGCGGTCTCTCATCACTCCCAAGCTTACAACTCCAATGTCTGTAGCACTAAACACTACTCTCACAATGCTTCTCTTCCCCCACCTCCTGCGACAGCTACTACTTGCTGGGTGTCAGGTGTGTTGCCCACTGGAGGTACAGGACAGTCCTCAGCTACAGATGTCCAGGGGATTAATATTACTTTCTGGAGGTTTCTCTGCATGTGTTCCTCTTACAGAATGTATTGTTCTAACCCTACACATGTTCTTCAATCTTTAAGATACATGTTAAGTGACTAAGAATATTTCAAGTTTTCCACAATGGTGGCTAGTTCATTTTATAAGGTCCCTTTAATTTTGAGTGTAGAATTATTTCCTCTCTCCCTTCCTTACATTGGAAGCCTCTTGATCTGTAAGAATATTTTTGCCTTAAAATCTAATCACAAAGTTCCTCCACTTTCTCTCATTTAGATTCTGGTGCCATTTCCCATCCTGCACTTTGGCCCCTTTGATCTTTAGAGATGTGTCTTGGGTAAGAGATGACTTGGCTAAATAACTCAAACTGGTCTGACAGTCTTTGGATTTTACATAAAGACACTGGTTTGTGTTCATTTAAATGTAATCTCTAACATATTTTGTTTCTGCATCTTAATTTGTCTTTCATAAATATCCAACATTCGATTGTTTTTGCTTACTCTGATCCTTTATTTTTCTGTGCTAGTTGGGAAACTATATATTTAATTCTCTCCTCCTAGAACTCATTCCAGAATGTTAGTGGGTATACTGATCATATTTTAAATACAGCAAATAAGTTCATATTCCTTCTTTATATTAAAGGAACTTGGAGTCCTTTAATCCTTCTGTCCTTCCAAGTTCATTCTTGGTGCTCTGTATATCATTATCTTTTTCCCTCAAAAGAACATATTGTCATTGGTTTTTTTTTTTTTTTTTTTTTTTGGTTTGCTCATATATTGGCCACTCTCTGAGCTCAATATGTCATCTCTCATCACAACAGCAGTAAAAGAGTTACATTCCTCCATCTGAGACAAAGTCTTCTACTTTCATCTGACGCGTCCATTTGACCCGACTGTTCAGAGTCAGCTAACGTTTGTGCTGTCATTTTACATGCTTCACCAGGCCATATCTGAGTGTGCACTCCTTTCTCTTCATAAAAAGAATCCTGCCTGGATTCCCTAGCATTCCTAAATCTGAGTAGAGTCTCATTCATTCTGAAAACTTCCTCTTGGGCTCTGTAATAAACTTCCATCTTTCTGTCTTCCACTTTCCCAATTCTTTCTTTAGCTGTGCTATTCTTACACTATCAGCTGAGATTTATTAAAACAAAACAAAAAATAAAACAAAACCAACTTCAGTTTTCATATGTTTTCATTTCTAGAAGTTCTAGTTTGATCTTTGATGCATTATCCTTGATAACTTCAATATTATATTATTTGTTTATATTGATAGGCCTTACTGTGTGCCAAGTGGCATGCTCCCCCTCCCCACGAGTTTGTATTAGAATCCTAAGTCCTTCAGGATGAGGCTGAATGTGAAGTCTTGAGGAGAATCGTCAAATGAAAAAGTGGACTCTCACCCAGTGTTTTGTCTTCCTAGTAGAGATGGAGATGAGCATGTAAGCAGAGAGAGGCAAGAGTGTGAAGCCACAGAGGAAAAGGAGGTGTCTCGGGAACAAGAAGAGAAGCCTTACAAAACAAGGACTCTGCCAACACTGGTCTTGAACTTCCGGCCTCCACAGGTGTTTGTCCTTCAGCCCACCCAGTCTGAGAGTCCCTAACATAAATTAAAAATTTAAACATAAATCAATAATACTTATTTTCTGTCCTTTGGCTAGCAATACAACCTCAGAAACCTCCAGAAACTGAGCGTTGTGTTTGCGTTTTCAACTGTGTCTATGGGTGGAGCCTGGCATCTTTATGAGTCTGTGTTCACACTGTGAGTTCATTTGTTTAAAGGTCTTTGTTCTTGGAAATGATTAGAAACGAAGGAAAGAATTTGATTTTCTTAAGTCTGTGATTCTAGGGCCACTTCCAACCCAGCAGCATTGTAGACCAATTCTTAGCCTCAGGTTTAGGCCACTGGTTAGGGAGTATGACCTGCAATTAGTGGCCTTCTGCACAATGAAGGCAGATATATTGTCCCATTGCTCAACGCTAAGGTTGGAAAAAGGCAATTGTGTTTCGTGTCTAGGTTGGTGGTAGTAACAGTGGGTTACTAGCAACAGCTGTGAAGCAGAGTCTGTATGTCATTGATTCTCACAGGAAAACACAACCCCCTGGAGTCCCAGGTCTGTGCAACAACCTTCGGTTAGCTCTGTATTATTGAAGTCTCTATTTTTTTGTTTTGTTTTGGATTGGTTTAGTTTGGTTTTTGTTATTGTTATGTTTGTTTGGGTTTGTTGTTGTTGTTTCTCTGCAGCATGGCCACTGGAGTGTGACAACTGCCATCAGGACAAAAGATAGATTTACTGTTTCAAAGACAAGTCCAGAAGGAGAGGTTGTTTTTAACACGGACCCTCTGTCCCTTTCTCCAGAAGAGTGAGTCTTGTCTCCTAGGAGCAGCTCATTGTTGCTTTGATTGCTGTCTGCTACCTTCCTGGCCAGTGAGACAGATCTCTGAGGAGAGCTAGGCACAGAAGGGAAGCACTTTCTCAAAGTCAGCTCCAGACGCCCCAGCAATTTAGCAAAGGAAAGCGATATCCACAGAGCCGCTAGTGCCTGAGCTCACACACCAGCACAGCCACAGGGTGCTTTGGAAACCATGGGTTCCCACCATCTTCTCTCCATTCACTCCCTCTGGTTCCCACACACCCTTCTGGAACAATAAATAGAAGAGCCATCTGCTTGGGAAGTTGGTTATTTTTTTTTAAACTCTCCTTTTTCAGAAAGTACTAGAAATAGAGGCCAGATTCAAAGATCTACATCATATAAAGCTATATGGAAACAGGGCCAGGGTTCTCACCACCTTCCTGAAGGAAAGCCTTCCAACTCTAATTGTGGGCATTATTTTATTTCAAAAAGCCGAGACAGGGAACGAAGTGGATCTCCAGCCTGGAGGCATTTGGAAACGTCACACGAGACAGGTGGCTGGGGGAAAGAAACCATAAGCTCACCTGCATCGCTTTGGCTTTTCTGCAAGCAGAGTTGGCCCGTTGGCAAGGCTGCTCTCCCAGAATCTACAGCATCCAGCACAGAGTGAAAGGGGCCATGAACATTCACGAGTCAGTGAGCCCGAAGCAAAGAGCTACTCCATCTGACTATTGTCTGGTTTCATGCAGAGCCCCCGGTGAGCTTCCCACTTTTGATTTTGTTTGTTTGTTTGTTGGTTTGTGCTGTCAACACAAATCGCAGCTCTCTCCTGAAAGGGAAAATAAAAGACAGTTTATTCTGGAGCTGAATTTGAGGGGTCATGGTCCAGGAAGCACGGGGCTAGCATAGCCCAGGTTCCATGCCCCCATGTGGAAGCAGTTTCATGAGGTTTTTAGAGCGGCAAAACAAAGGGGGCCACACATCAAGTCAACCTTAAAATGCATTAATGGAAACTCCAGAGAGGAAGTCACAGCAAGACGGGGGACTCTCTCCCATAGGCCCCGGATGCTATCCGATGACGTTCCCAGTTGGGGGAAGCTAGTGATCTGCTAAGGCAACAGTTTCCAAAAGATGTTCATCTATCAGTCCCAGGACGTTAGCTCTGACCCAGAGGTAGGCGAGGAACGGTTGTTTGGGGACTAAAGCCAGGCAGAGACAAAGTAGTTAGACTCTGGGACCGCAACATCCCAACGTCACCGCATCACTTAGGTTCCAATTAGTCATTCGGTCTTTGCAGACACAGCTGCTTTCCAGGAATCCTTGTGTACAGTGTTCAGATGGAACCCAGGGTCGCACGCAAGCACACTCATATCAAGCCACCATACCTCCAGCCAGTGATTTGCTTTGTATTCTCTTTCTTTGCAGCTAGACTTGTCCAGAAACACCAAGCAACTGTGTGACCCCAAGATAAAGGAGTCCTCTCAGTTAGGGTCTTTGTTGACCAAAGTGGTTTACGAAGGTTAAAGAATAAAGAGAACACACAGGCAGGGCCTTATTGACACACCCGTTGGCCTTCATCATTAGCCATTGTTGGCAGCAGCTCTTGGGCAGCCTGAGGCAATAACACACACATCTCCAAATTCAAAATCAGATCCACAAAAGCCTTGGAATCTGAGCATTCATAGGCCTACCTGTAGCTAGTCTTTCCCTGCCCTGTCAGTCAGCTCCCAAATAAATGACACAGAGACTTCTTATTAATTATGCAAGCTCAGCCGATAGCTTATGCTTGTTCCTTAATCTATTTTTATTCATCTACATATTGCCACATGACCCGTGGCTTTTACCCCTTTTGCTGTATGTCTGCTCCCTCTGTGGGAACTGGCGACTCCCAGTTCTTCTTCCCAGCGTTCTTTCTGCCCCCCAAAATCCTGCCTAGCTATTTGCCATTTAGCTTTTTATTAAATCAATCCGAGTGACACTTTGCAGTATACAAAAGGATTATTCCACAACACCCACCAAAAGGTAGGCCCACTCTTTGTTTCCAGCCTTGCCATGCCCTATATTTTCAACATGGTAAATCTGGCCGGTAAATTCTACTTGTTTGCAGGTGGTTGAAAAATGAAAAGGATTTGGAAAGTATGAAGGAGAGGAAGGACCAGTCAATGCTCAGGGGAATGTTTAAGAAAATACAGTTCTTTTTGTCTTGATGAGGGGGGTTGCTTCACAGTCAACCTTCAGGTAACATAGTTCTATGACTACAAAACACCTGTCACTTACTCTAAAAAAGTAACTACGGATAGGGGTGGAGAAGCAGATTCATCTGTAAAGTGCCACACAAGCATGAAGAGCTGAGTTCAATCCCCAGAATCCATGAGAAAAAGCCAGGCATGGTGGCATGCATGTTTGTAATTCTAGAGGTTGTAGAAATAGAGACAAGAAGATCCCTTGGGCTAACTGGTCAACCTGGCTGCTTGATGGGCTGCAGCCCAGTGAGAGACCCTGTCTCAAACAACAAGGTGGATGGCGCCTGAGGAACAACACCCAAGGTTGTCTTCTGACCGCCACATAATCGTGTATACATAAGCACCCACACACGTACATGCACATGCACACACAATTCCTGAGAAACACAATAAAAGATAAAGGAATAAAAAGTTCCCTTTCTGAAATTTACACACACACACAAACGATATTCCAGACCATTCTGAAGAATATTTGGATCTAATTGAAGGAGCAAGGTACCAACAATCGAACCAGAGCTTGAAAGTCTGTAAATGAATGGGTGAAGCCTGAGCCTTCCAGATCTAAAGGTGAGAGGATGTTATGGAACTCAAACCAGAGAGCTAAATATGAGCAGTTGAATTTACATTCCCAGGGATACAAGGGAAAGGACTATGTCTACACTGTATTCAAAGGTTGACCCATCTATGAAGGGTTAATGACCTAACACAATGAACCTCCAACAAACTGAGAAACTCCCAACTCAGCACACCTGCCTAACAAGGAAACCAGCATAGTGAAGAGAACATCTGCTGTATTATTAAGCCTTGAAACTACAAAGAACACATCTGCAGAGAACCTCCCCCACCAAAATTCCATCTCCTGCCCTAGGAAGGCCAAGGTCCCTGCACCTGTGCGCACAATAGCCTCCTCTGCAGGGAGCCTGTGACCTTCCTCATTCTGATGAATGGACAATGCGTTCTTTAAAGGTTGAGCTCCTCTTCATTTACCCATCACCTACATCAATTTCAATCTCGAGATCTCCATCTGGATTATTCCCCAAGGATTTGAGAGCTTAGTTCTCAGCTGACAGTTTCACCGGAAGATGGCAGACACTCTAGCGGATAGCGCCTCCGTGCAGGACAAATGCCACTCAGGTAGGACTTGGAGCGAAAAGGCGAATTGTGTACCCAGGCCTAGTGTGTTTTATCATGCCTGCTCCCATCTCTCTCCTTCTTTTTCTTCCCACTTCCTGGGTGCCACGTACTCTGTCTTACTACAGGCTCCAAGCCACACAGTCAGCTAACCGTGACCTGAAACCGTGAGCTAAACCAAACTCTCCAAGCTAATTTTCTCAGATTTTTTTCATGCCGCAGTGTAAAACTGATTAATGTAGTAGCAAGGGTGGATGAAGTGGACGACACAGTTAAGAAGAGAGTAAGATTCCCCCCTACCCGAGTCTCCTTATCACAATAAATGGAAAAGGAAAAAAGTTAAAATATATTGTCCCTTAAAGCAAAGAATGCAGCATTTATGGGGCGGGGCAGGGGGGCACTAGACAATGATAATTATGAATAAATTTGAAAGCCGTACTTCATAACCTGAGGATATGATTAAATCAACACATAGAGGAAAGTTGTTATGCTCAAGAGTTTAGCATTAATAAATAAAACCAATCAAAATAATGCATTAATTATTCAACTCAAGGAATGTGTATAAATATACAAGGTAATTATGGACAGAAAAAGGAAAAAACAAGTAATAATGGGAGTTGAAGCAAACTTTAGAGCTATATATTCGGTACACAAATAAATCTGAGATCTGGTGCTATTAAATAAAATAAAGTATTGATATTTTATTGTATTTAATAAAAAATATATTTAATGGGGGAAGAAGCATGAATATTACCATGTTCATGTGGAGGTCAGGGGACAACTTGAGAGAATTAGTTCTAGCCTTCCAAAATCTGGGTTCCAAGGATCAAACTCAGGTTATCATGTTTGGTGGCACATGCCATCACCCAGTGAGCCGTCTTCCTGGCCTAAACTATTACTATTCATGTGTTGAACGGAAGATAAAATACACATATACAAAATTAGGAAGAGGGAGAATGAGAAATAGCACCAAGACAGAGGGAAACAAAGCTAAGTAAAATAAAGTCAGTGTGATAGCCCAAGAGCCAGCTGTGAAACTGAGAAATCGTTTAACTGCGATTTCTCGGTCCACACAATTTCACAAGTATAGCCTTAGATTAAAAATTGTGACGCTGGACTGGAGAGGTGGTTCGGCCATTAAAGGCTAGGCTACAACCAAAAGAAAAAAAAAAGAAAAAGAAAAAGAAAAGAAAATGGAAAAGGAAAAGAAAAGAAATAATACTTTTTTTAATTTTTTTCCAAAGAAAATTCAAGTGTTTTCATTTTTAATGAAGCTGATAGGAAACAATAGTCAGTAGTGGTGGTATTATTGCTCATAAAATGGCAGAATTTGTAAAAATGGCAGATTCACTTTATTAATGGATCTAACACACATACACAAGTAGCTAGGATAAATATTAGTTAGTTGCCTTTACTAAAGTTGTCTTTACTAATCTCCGAGGTGTCTACTCTAGGTCTAGGTGTCTTTAGGTAGGTTTGGGAGGGAAAACGGACACACATCCTAAGAGCTCCTTGACCACTGAGAGAAAAATGGCCATTAGAGAAAAACAAAAGCAAAAATATCTCAACAGCACAGAAAAGCATCATGGGAAATCAAGTGTTGGTTATGTGTGATTTTTGTTGTTGTTGGTTTTGGTGCCAAACATTAGTACTATAAGGTAAGAGTCTTAATCAATGTTCAAAACTAGGTTGCAGATAAGTGGATTTTCCAGCTCACTGGAAAACGGGAGCCAGAAACTGCTCACTGACATTGACCATTGCCTGCGACCTCCAGTCAAGGACAGTGGCTTTTTTGTAAAAGTCAATGTTCAACTCAGACGAGTGCATGAGTCAGAGTTTTTGTCACCGAGACAAATGCAAGATAGAACAACTTAAAGGAAGGAAAGGTTTAGTTTGTCTCACAGTGCCCGAGGTTTCAGTCCATGGTCAACTTGTTCTGTTATCCGCCTGCGGTGAGACAGAACACCACGGTGGCAAGATCATACAGTGGAACCAAGTTGCTGATCTCGTGGCAACCCAGAAGCAGAGGAGGGACAGAGGAGCCCACAGTAGGATACGCCCTTCAAAGGCCTGCCCCAGTGATCCATTTCCACCAACCAGGCTTCCGCTCCCAACAACGCCATCTCATTGTGAATCCATCAAGGGGTTCACCCAGGAGACTGTGGCAGAGACACTTAAAGATGTCTTCACTCATCTCCGAGGTGTCTCTCAGTCCAATCAAATGGACAACCACGATTCACTAGCAGTTATGCTTCAGGATGAGGCTATGAGCCTGTAATTGAAAGTCTGCATCCTTTCCAGAGTACCACTAGATCAAAGAGAACCACGGGGACCTAAGCAGATGAGATGAAATGAACAGGAAGCTAGTTACAGGGTAGAGAGGGCACCAGGATGGGTTAGCGTCTTCAGAACAAAACTGGAGATTGTGGGGCCAGCAAGATGGCTCAGCATGTAAAGGCACCAGCTGGACAAGCCTGGTGACCTGAGTTTGATTCCCAGAACCTACCTGGAGGAAGAAAGAGGGAACCAACTCCAGAAGAAGGAGAGAACCAACTCCATACACACACACACACACACACCCCAAGTCATGCAAGCCCCCACCCTCACCCCATAACACATGTCATGCTCACACATAATATTTTTTTAAACCACCTAGAGATTGTTAGGGAGAAGAGAAGACAGCAGCAAAGAGAAGGGCTGTGACATCCTTGGAGTGGAACATGGGCAGCAAAGAATCCCAGTCCTGGCTGGCAGTTGCTGGCAAAGCGTGCACAGATTAGAACTAAAGTCATAAAACATCTCAGTAGCTGGCTGTGCACTGCTTAATCCTCTTAAGCAAGCAGGCATTTCTCACCAGACCTTGGACAGGGGCCCCTGCTGATGCCGGCCAACTTTCGGAATTAGAGTCAGTATTCCACAAAGACCAGAAAATAAGCACCTGAGTTGGTCTGTGAGGTGTGAAAAGTCACTTGGCTAATGACACAGGTCTTCCATGTCACCTAGCCAAGCACCAAGGGATGCAGAACAATCCATCTTCGGAGTAAGTACCATGTGTCACCTCTTCAGAGCTGAGGAAGGAGTTGGCACGGTGGCTCAGCCAGGAAAGGGGCCCACTACCTAGCCTGATGACCTGAGTTTGAGCTTTGACACCCTCATGGGGGAAGGAGAGAACCACCTTTATCATTATCTTCTGATCTCCACAAGCACGCTGTGATGTGCACCAACCCCTCCCCCAACAGCCCCAATAAGCATACATACACATATAAGTAGATAAATGTTTGATTTTTTTAAATGAAAAAGGGAAGGAAGAATAGTAACTAAAACTTTTCTTCCACTCAGTCTCCCAGGGTGACTGGGCTCCGAGGGGACGTGAAGGAGACAGAGAGTCATTCTAGAACATGATCTGTGGGAGTTTGAAGCTGACCTGCCGTGTTGGAGGAAACTCAGAAGCTGGACTTATCCAGAGAAACTGTCCCTTATGGAGGAAGCCCTGCACCCACTGCAGGTTACCACGTGACTGCGGAGCTGTAAGAGAGAATAGAAACTGATGGGACAAGACTCTCAGTGGATAGAGCATTAAGACCATTCTCTGGATAATTTCTGTCCTAACTGGTTGTGAAAGGAAGCAATAAGGATCAACCTTTCGTTGGGTTGGGATCTCAGAGGTGCTAAGATTGGTTTGTTTCTCTTATAAGTGTGGGTTCCCTTGTGACCAAATGGTTTCATTATCCACATTAGATTCTGGATTTGCAATACAAAAAGGCATAAAACCATCCCAGCTAAACAGATGCAATGTCTCATACACAGAGCTTTCTGGGTTTTGAATAGCCAACCTTTTTAAAAAGTAGAAGAAAAACTAATTTTAATAATATATTTTACTTGGCCAAAATATTGTCATTCCAACATATAACTAACCTAAAAACATAATTTTGACTTGTTGAGACAGCATCTCACTGTGTTACTCTGCCTGGTCTCAAACTCAGAGATCCACCTGCCTCTGCCTCCTGAGGGCTGGACTAAAGGAGTGTGCCACCACCCCTTATTTCTGCCCGTATGTCTTTAAAACTGAGTGTGTTCTTAATTCAAAGTAATTACTTTGGGAGCTTGTATTAATTTTCCATTCTAGTGATAAAATACTGAGATTAAACCAATTTAGAATGAGTTTATTTGGGCTCGTAATTTCAAAGGTCCCAGTCTGTGGTCACTTGGTGCTATGATTTGGGGGTTTGAGGTGGGCCATGTACCATGACAGAAGGAAACCTGTCACCTCTTTACAAAGAAAAAGTTCCTAAGGCAGCGGTTCTCAATCTGTGGGTCACAACTCCCACAGGGTCACATATCAGATGTTTACATTATGAATCGTAACAGTAGCAAAATTATAGTTATGAAGTAGCAACAAAAATAATTTTATGATTGGAGGTCACTACAACCTAAGGAACTATATTTAAGGGCCACAGCATTAGGAAGGTTGAGAATCACTGGTAGAGTCCCAGCTTCGACAACCATACTTCCTCTAATTAAGCCCCACCTCCAAAGGGCTCTACCTATCACTCCCATTGGCACCCCTAGCTTTGGGGGACAGTCTAGATTCAAAACACAGGGAGTCTGATGGCCGTCACTTTAGACACCGTCCTGTGAGTGAAAGAGGTTATGTAGATCATGGAGTCTGGGCTTCAGAAAGAAGACTTCAGTTGCATTGGGTTTTTGAAAACCTAGGAACTTAGAAATGTATACCCTGTCTTGCATTCCAAAATAGTGGATGAGACCCACAGGGGAGACCCAGGAGCCTCACTAATAGGCAGTGACAATTTCTCTCCTTCTTTGGGGTTCTGGTTAATTGAGATTACTGTGCCCTGTTCCCACCTCCACAGGCCAAATCAAATACCTGAGCCCTGACAGTTTGGCCCAAGCCAAACTGAGTCAACTCAAATTCTCCTACCCTCTCCAACAGTCGTTGAAAGATTTCTCTTCTGCACTCAGAAGGCACCATGAAGCAAGGAAAGAATTAAGCCATTATCCCCCCGGGGCTCAGGACTGTGCCCTTGGCAAAGTGGCTTTGCTATCAGCTTCAAACTGCAGGTCAAAGGTGCTCCCCACCAAGGCTGGCTCCAGTTCTGACCCAGATGTACCAGCCGCCTCATCTGAAGGATACGGCACAGTACAGAGTGGGATGTAGCTGGCTCAGCTGGGATACTCTTGGCTCCAAGGCCTGGCCGGTGTGGTTGACAGCGACGAAGTCATGCTCAGCCCGAGACCCACTAACCCCAGCCTCTAATCTTTAGTGGAGAACTTGTGATTTCGTGTCCACACTTCCAGATCCACAGGCACTCTGAGTAGGTACCGTATTATTACTTTCCCTGTGACTAGGACCAAATATCTGATAATGAAAGCAACTTCAGGGAGGGGTTTAGTTTAACTCACGGTTTTAGATAGCACAGGCCATCATCAGTGGGATGTCACGGTAGAGTTCATTCTTGGCAGCAGTCTGGGCCTGGAACTCTGTCTATCACAGCAGATCAGGAAGCAATGAGAGAACACTCTCAGCTGTAACGTTTTCCTTTCCTTCTTATTCAGCCCAGGACCCAAGTCTGGGGGATCGCACCGCCCAAATTCCTCCTTAGCTCAACCTCTCTCAAAGTAACCTCAGGGTCACACCCTGAGATTATTCCAAATAATAATGAAGATTCACCATCACTGTCACCAACCTTGGCTTCTTGCTGACCCTTTAGGTTTTCCTGGTTCCACAGCGTCTCGGGTGTGGGTAACTGTTTCCGTCACATGGACCCCGGAAACCTTCCCACTTCACACCAGACATGCTTGCCCTGCCCACCTCCGTTTTTAAAAATATGCTTTTAAAGATTTATCTTTATTTTATATGCATGGCTGTTTTCTGCCTGCGTGTATGCATACACACTGCATGCGTACCTGATGCCTTCGGAGTCCAGAAGAAGGCAATGAATTCCCTGGAACAGGAATTACAGACAGTTGTGAGCTGCTGTGTGGGTGCTGGAAACTGAACCTGGATCCTCTTGAAGAGCAGCCCGTGCTCTTAACTGGTGGGCTGTTTGTCCAGCTCTGACCTCTCTTAAAGGACCTTTTGCTGCATTGAGACCTAGGGATAATCCAGTCTCCCAGGTCCTATGAAATCCTTTTGTTTCAAAGATCAAATGGGATCTTACTCGGGCCTCCTCAGGCCTGATTTCTCCATCGTCCTGGGTCTCCGGCTTCTCATACTCTTCCTTCATGAGTCCCCAACTAGTTCCTTCCATCTATATTCACTTTTTCAAAGGCCCTGGGGCTGACCTCAGACATTATGTAGATGAGGGTGATCTTGAACTTTTTCTGATCCTCACGTCTCTAGGGTCAGAGTTTGTTGGCAATCTTGTGCCCTCTCCCCCTAATTTTACTAACAGACAAGCAATCAGAGCCAAGGAAGTGGATGGAATAACTTGCTCCCAATCACAGGAGACATTTGAACATCTGACTATGACAGAAAGGAACGGGGCATGTACCCAGGACGGCAAGCGGCCCACCAGCACGCCATGCAGCCTTGCTCAGAGAGAACTGGCTGCCTGGCTGTGACGAGCTGGAGGGAGCAAAGGGTGCGGGTCGCTCCACAGGCAAATACCCACTCCCCTTCTGGAGCTTACATCATTGACTTGGGCTCTAGCTCCCACCGAAAGCAGCATGTCGTGTTGCATGGGTTTGTACAATAGCTATATTCCTCGAGAGGAAAGAAGAGCGCTAATCCCAGTACTTATGAGGCAAAGACAGAGTTCTACTATTACCTACATTCCTTAAAAAATCCACTGGTTTTCCTTAAGAATATGTTCAGCCTCGACCAAAGCAGCATTTTTAAAAAACCAAAAAACAAAAACAAAAAAAGGAAACTGTCCTTGAACATTGAAGAAGTAATGTCCCTAGTGTCCACTAGGGGGCGATCGGACCGCAGTCCCCGAATCAGGCCCAGAAGGAGCCGTGAGTGAACAGGAAATAGAGCAAATGAAATCCGTGGTTTTACGCTGCAGTGTGACTTCCAACAAGAATCACACCCCTCTTCTGAGCGTTAGCTTTTCTACGACTCAGTGGTTAGGTTTCCACTCTGGTGTCGTCAGGGTTGATGCTACAGCTCCCCCGTTTGTGATCCAAATGCTTTCTTCTCTACCACACAGGACGTTTTCACTCCATTTCTGTTACCGAATTGCCCCCGATACTCACTTGCTGATGGCATCAGTCTGGGCCCTGCAAAACGGCGAACAAGTAGATGGCTTCTTGCTCGTAGTGTGGGCAGGTACAGCATCCCTTTCACACCCACTGTCTAATACAGCTGCCGCCAGCTGTGCCCTCAGCATCGTTAGGACCAGCCAGAGACACCAGATCTGCGGTACTGTAGTCCCTTTGCTGGATCACTCTTTATCACTGAAGGAAGTCAGAGCAGGAACTCAAACAGGGCAGGAACCCAGAGGCAGGAGCTGATGCAGAGGCCATGGAGAGGAGCTGTTTACTGGCTTGCTCCTCATGGCTTGTTCAGCCTGCTTTCTTACAGAACCCAGGACCCACCAGGCCAAGGATGGCACCGCCCACAATGGGCTTTACTCTTCTCCACCAATCACTTATTAAGAAAATGCCTTACAGCCTGGTCTAATGGAAGCATTTTCTCAGTTGAGGTTCCCTCTTTCAGATAACTCTTGTGTGTGTGGATGTGTGTGTGTGTGTGTGTGTGTGTGTGTGTGTGTGTGTGTGTGTGTGTGTGTGTGTCAAAATGACGGAAGACTAGCCAGCACAACACGGTTTTTAGATAAAAACTCAGAAATAGAAGTAGAAACATCATAGGCACATAGAATTTGTCCAGGCTGTTACTCTTTTGGTCAAGCATCTCTCTGTACTGTCTGGTCACTTTGAAAGACGGTGGCAGGCAGGCACAGCTGCTCAGGGGGCTAGGGCATGAGGGACTCTTGAGCCTAGGAGCTCAAGTGTCGTCTGGACTACATAGTGAAGCGACCTTCACCCCACCCCAAAAAGAAACACAAATTTCAAAAGTCTCTCTCTCTTAATCTTCATCTTTTGTATCATTTCCTAGTCCGTGGTCTGAACTGGGACAAATGCCTGAGGAGCAGAAGAGAAGAGAGAGACACAGAAATGTGGGTCTAATTGTGATCAAGATGGATTAAAGTCAATTCCATCCTAGGTAGCCTGGAGTCCAGCACTTCTGCAGCAGCTGTGGCTGCATCCTTCCTGCCCACTACTCACTCCACATCCCAGCGCCACAGCGACCAGACAGGATGCTCTCTCACCGGATCCCAAGGATACAGACTTCCCCACGCTTGGTTGGGGCTATTGAATTGAGGCTCTAAGTCCACAGAGCTAAATCATAATGTTTTCACATGTTCCTTTGGACGTTCCTAGGATTTGAAAAACGACTCGGTGAGCATCTCTCTCTCTCTCTCTCTCTCTCTCTCTCTCTCTCTCTCTCTCTCTCTCTCTCTCTCCTGGCTTATTAGCACCCAGCTTCAAAATCCTAACAGCGAAGTAGAAACAGGGTCAAGATTTACTTTATTCTGCTGTCTTGACTTCCAGTTGCTATAACCACACATTCCAATAGAAACCCATCACTCCTCGTGGTTCGTCTGCGGAGGCTTTTTAGCTGGGCTCAGCTGGATAAGTAGGCTTTTGTGAGCTGGCCTGGGAGCTTGCCATTATATGTAATTTTGGAGCTGTGGGATATGAGCCCCACATTCTAAATGACTGCCTTGCCGGTTTTCAAAATTTTCCTGAAACTTGTACGTTGCAAATTATGAACAACCTGGAGTGTTTTTGTTGTGGCTATTTGGTTGGTTGGTTGGTTGGTTGTGGTTTGCTTTTTGGTTTTTGTTTTTGTTTTTGTTTTTATTTTTGTTTTTGTTTGTAAATGACCTGAAGTGGGATGGTAAGTGGGATAAGTAAGAATATTTTTGAATGGCAGAGTCCAGAAGAAATCTATTTGTGAAGGAGATGGATACTCCTCTGGAAGGTAATGAGGGTCCCACTGGTTCTTAAATGATTAGTCAAAGTGACTGTGAGGCATGACTCTCACACTTCAGATTGGCTTCATGTAGACATGCCCCTGTCTTAAAGCAGAGGAGAGGCAAACCCCAGGGAGAATGTTCTAGAAGCTGGAATGCACTGAAATATGCTCTCCACGGTGAAGGCAGAGTTGTGGCAGGAAGATCAATCTTGCTGAATAAAAATCAGTGATGTCTGTGACCTGGGCATGCTTGCTGCCTGCCCCCCATCTACTGCCTCCATGAGCTGGGACAAGATGGAGTATAGGGGCTATTCTTAAGTCATCTGAGACGACGTGAAATGCAGGGTAACACATGGCACTCCACAATGATCTGGCAGGGTGCGTTGCTGTGACCATATGTCTCCCTCCCAAACTTGGACAGACAAGGAAACATCTTTACATTTAAGAACCAGTTTTTAAATGTGTGTGCATGTGTGTATAAACACAGCAAGTTCCTGCTAGACACTGAAATGTGGGGTTTCTCAGGAAGTAAAAGAAAATTCTTGTCTTTAGAATGCAGGCTAGGTGCCGACTGCCTCCTTCGATCAGAACACGTCTTATGCCTGGCATTCTCATCTAAGTTGCTGGGCCCTGTCTGTCACTCTGTTCTTCGGGCTTTGGATTTCAGGTGGCAAGTCTTGGCTGTCAGTGCTGTGTTCCTAGACACAAAGGCTGAGACAAGATGACTGAAAAAGAACAGAGGTTTATTTATGCTCATGGTTCTACAGGCTGGGGAGTCCAATCACACGGCACCAGCATCTGATTGGTTTCTGGTGGGGACCTCCTATTGCTTCAAAGGAAGGCATCATCAGGGTGAGCAAGAGTGCATACAGAAGTGAAGTACTGGGCAACCCTGACAACTCACAATGGAAGGAGCTAAGCCAGTCACACTGGGCAATGACCGCCTCGCTCTCCTCACCCAGACAAAGACGTTAATCCGTTCTCAAGACCTCTGTCTTTTAACACCACTTCCCAGTACGCTCCAGTTTCCAGTATCCCCACACTGTCAACATGAGTTACCGTGGAGATAAACCACATCGCTCTGCTTGTGATGGTACTCGCCTCAGTTTCTCAGTTCGTTAACTCTCTTTAGTAGAATTTCCTAAAGCTCTCCACAGAGCACGGCTCTGTAGGCACAAATAACAGGTGTATGCAAATAAATGTTGAAGTCACAGCAGCTAGAGGAAATTTTGCCTGTACTCGGGGCCCAAGCTATTTCATAAATGCAGAAAGTACTATATGAATAGAATTTCGCAACTTTTTTTGTCCAACTTAAAACTAAATGCCTTTAATTATAGAACTTTAATTAGCCCTGATATATGAAAAAAACATTGAGAACGAACCTTGACCTCTCATGCCTCATACAGGAATTAATTCAAAATGGATTATGGATTTAAGTGTAAAACTAGAAAGGTGTGTTCGATTTAAACAGATTTAAATGTAAGTATAGAGCCAGCAAACTTTCAGAAGAAAACATAAAAGATTCAGGACCGTAGGCTGGGAGAAAGGTTATTAGATATGACACCCAAGTGCAAAGCATGAAAGAACAGAATAAATTGGATTTCATCAAAGTGGGGAACTTTGGTGCTGTGAAAGACCCAGTTAAGCAAATGAAGAGACAGGCTCCAGCCTCGGAGGAAATGCCTGTCATCGTATAACTGACAGAGGACTGACAGCTGTGTCCAGCCTTTGACACTGAGACACAAGGTCATCATCATCTACGGAGTCCATGCTGGAGAGCCAAGCGATCAAGTTACCAATATATATACATACATACATATGTATATATATATATATATATATATATATATATATATATATATATCCCTCTCTCTCTCTCTCTCTCTCTCTCTCTCTCACACACACACACACACACACACACACACACACACACACACACACACACACGACACATAAAACATAAAGGTTTAAATAAGTTAGGATTTAGGGCTGACTCGCTTTCATAGAGTCCTGAGCTGTATGGGGGCCTGTGAACTATGGGTTGGACACACCTGGTGGAATCTATAACTTAAAAAGAACTTTCAAAATTCAGCCATAAGCTGTGTCGACGCACACCTTTAATCCCAGCACTTGGAAGACAAGCAGATCCCTGTGAGTTCAAGGCCAGCCTGGTCTACAGAGTGAGTTCCAGGACAGCCAGGTCTACATAGAAAGAAACACTCACCCCCAAAGAAAAGAAAAGGAAAGAAAAGAAAAGAAGGATGGAAGAAAGGAACAAAGGAAGGAAGGAAAGAAGGAAGGGAAAAAACACACAAAAAAAATATCCTCAAATACACGGAGCTAGAGAGATGGCTCAGCAGTTAGGAGCCCACCTGTTCCTGCAGAGGAGCTGACTTCGGTTCCGAACACTCACATTGGATGGCTCACAGCCACCTGTAATCTCCAGGGATCTGATGCCCTCTTCTGATGTCTGCAGGCATCTTGACTCAGGTACACATACACACATAGATAAACAATATTTAAAAAGCAACACTGAAAAATCCAGCTATAAAGTAGACAAAAGATATGAACAGAAGCAGACGCCTCATCAAAGGGAAGATATAGACCAAAAATATAAACAGTGAAATCTATTCAATACCATTGGCTATTGGAAAAACAAAAATTAGACCTGTAATGTAGGGCTGGGGAAATGGCTTAGTGGGTTAAATGATTACTGTGCAAGCTTGATAAACTGAGTTCAAATCCCCGGAGTCATTAAAAATAGATTGTGTAGTATAAAAATCTATAGTCCAAGTGTTCCCATGAGGAGAAGAAAGATAGAGATAGAGAACTCTTTGAACACCCACAGGCCAACCAGCCTGGCATATGAAGTGGAAAAACACCAAAGAGACCCTATCTCAAACCAGGTGGAAGACAGGACACACACCTGATGTTGTCTCATGCCCTCTATTCATGTGCTCTGACACACACATATTTACACACACACACATATGCATATGCTCACACACACATAAATTGCAGTGTGATATCAATACATATCTGTTAAAACAACTTTTAAAAATGGTGCTAAGTACTACCCACTGGACCCTGTAACCTACAAGACTACCCAAACCCACCGAACCCATCATCCTCCCCCTGGCCAACTATCTCCCACAAAATCAACAGCCTCTGGAGGCATGAGCAACATCTGCACCGTTTGGAACAAGAGGTGAGTGACCAGTCTCCCAGCTAAACTGCCCCAATCCCTGGGCCCTAAACCCCACAGCACATCCCGTGCACCTCCCCCTCCCATCTCAGCCCCAGCAGCAGGCCAGCAGGTAAGAGTCCTGCAGGTCGGCCACTCCACCACTGCCACCACCCATTGGATTGTGTAACTGACAAGACCCACTCTGCTGCCCAAACCCATGGAACCCATCATCCTCCCCCTGGCCAACCATCCCCTACAACATCAACAGCCCCTGGAGGCACAAGCCCCACCTGCACCAATTGGAAGAAGAGC